TGTGGAAAAGGATTTTCATCCACTGCCATTTTTTTCTTAGCTTCAAATGTGATTCGTCCTGACTCAATGATATCCTATTCAACGACATCTTGTGTGAGTTCACCAAGTAATACAAGCATGGTTCAAGGACTCAATTCTATCATTGGCTCGTAACGACTCTGACTCTATCCTTCCGATCGTAGAGTACTTTGCTGCTCCTCATATCGTTCGATCACAGACTGGACTATTCGTTGGCTTGTTGACTCCTTAGCAGAGTTTTTCTGAGGCATATTGCTTCACTTTTCGTATCTTCAAACACCAAGGGTCCCACTGGGCGTACCAAATTGTTTCGTGTGAAAATCAAGTATAGCTAACAATTAAAAGAATGTTCAGACGATTGTGTATGGAACAACAACCTCTCGAGACAAAGTCTTAACGAGAGGTACTTTATTTATAAAGATTACAATATGTAAGAAGCAAAATGCCTCTAAGGGGTACAAGCACATTGAATTCGCAAAGTAATTGAAAGTTTAATAAGAAGAAAGAAATGAAATTACATAATTCTCTATTTTAGAGTCATTTGATTCGTCCCTCTTCCATGTTCTCTTTTCTCTTTTAGACTCTTGTAGAACCGTTTGAAAACTGTTCACCGCCCTGTAACTACCAATTTTCTCCATAATGGATGACTTGTTAAGAAACTACCATTTTCAACTGCCGCCATTATTCCCATCATTTAACTGTTTGCAAACGAGATTCTTGGATCGTAGAATGTGATAAGAGTACTCATTAACTATTTAATAACCATTGCTTTAAATAACAATCAGACACTATACTCGCCCAGATCTTGGGTGTCTCGTAGGCTTGAGCGATGATGGGTTCGCCCAGATCTTGGACGTCTCGCAGGCTTGAGCGATGATGGGGCCTCTGCTACATAACTCTGTCTTGGATTTTTATATGGTCTTGTTTGGACCCATCCTTCGAATTTCCTAACTGGGTTTCATTCTTTGGATCATTTAATTAGACATCATTTTTGTATGTCAACAACAATAAACAAAAACCATGAATGAAATATGTCTTTGGAAAGACTCAATTATCAAGAAAAATAAAAATCCAATGCCCGATCAAGTAAAATTAAATAACAAATCAATTGTTCATATGACTAAATATAAAAAGATAGCCGCTAGTTCAAGTTTCTCACTAACTTTTGATGCACCAACTATCTTTTCAGCGTATAGTAACTTTAAAATGGGAGAGAATAAACTTAGCTTAACCCGGTTTTATTTTTATGTTTGTATTTAAGATTTTCAAATAACTTTTTTTGACCGACAGGACCACCATGGTTGAAACACTGTTAATCATCGTAACTTTTCACGTGTCATCACTTGGACTATGAATGCGACAAAAAAACTTTTATGTCAGCAACAACTCAACAAATTTCCGAGTCAAAAAAGCATAATTACTATAAATGAACATAAAAAGAGTTTATTTTATAGGAAAAATTGCAGTCACGGTATCAAACATTTCATTAGTAGCATATTATGTCCAAACATTTCATTTGTGCCACTCACGGTACCAAACCTTCCAAAATGTAGTAGTCGGAGTCCAAATGGATGAAAATCATCCATTTGGTCGTTAGTTGACCGGAATAGTAAAAATTGATCAAATCTAATAAGGACAAAATAGTAAGTTTACAACTTTAACATAAAATAATTATAATAATTAGAAAATAGAAAAAAGAAAAAAATTTCTTCTTTTGCTTCTTCCTCAGATCCCCTCTCCCCCTGCATCTCACTCCATCCTCCATATCCAAATTCAAATCCACCCATCTGTCTGTTGTAAAGGTGGTGGATTTGAATGAAAATGGTAATAATAGTAGTAGTACAAGTAGAAGCTCTGCCGTGGAGCTGAATTTTCAGAAGGTTGAGCTGGGGTGGTGGTTGGAAGGGTTCTGTAATAATGGTAGTAATAGAAATTGTCATCTGAACGTGAATTGTACAGACGTTCTCTATGGAAACACGACAGGCTTTCGTCGTGAAGAATAATTTTTTTTTTCTTTTTTCATTTTCTAATTATTATAATTATTTTATATTAAAATTTTAAACTTACTATTTTGCTCTTATTAAATTTGGTCAATTTTAACTATTCGGATGAGTTTCCATCCATTTGGACTCCGACTGCTACATTTTGAAAGGTTTGGTAACGTAGATGGCACAAATAAAAGGTTTGAACAAAGTCTGCTATTAAATGAAAGATTTGGTACAGTGGCTGCAATTTTCCCTATTTTATATGATTTGGATTAAATGATTTTATGCTATCTTTTCAGTGATATTTGAACTTTTTCATTTATAAAATTTGATGTTTAGAATTTTTGCAAATTCTTCTGCCTGCAATAGTGTGTGTGTGTGTATATATATATATATATTTTATTTTTTTTATTTTTTTAGGAGGGGGGTTTCATTTATTATGAAACATGACGTATTCGAAAAAAATTCAAGATATGAATTAGATGTAAAGATATCAGATAAATGAAAAAGTAACAATAATTGTACGGTCCGATAGAAAATAAAGATATACTGCTATACTTTGCATAATTTTCATAGATATTCTAGTATTTTTATGCATACTTTCATGCTCACATCTTTAAAAGAGAGATGTCACATGAAATGGTAGATTTAATTCTATTCGAGATAAATTATTAAATAACTTGGGAACGTTGATCAACTAGAATGCATACAAATTATTATGATATTGAATTGAATTAAAATAGATTAATAAAGGGGATTCGAAGTGTTGGTTAACATCTCACATAGTTTTACAATATGCTTGGGGCGTTTTCGGAACGTCCCTCATATGGGTATGCTTGTGATAATGCAGTCAATCCATTTTGTTGACCACATATGCACACTTAAACGTCAAAAATGTGTACACATTTGTATTAAAAACTATATCAAAATTGATCTATTAAAGTCTAATCCATTTTCATAACTTAGAAAAAAAAAATAGCAAATTGAACCTAACAAATACCAAATCAGCCCAAATCACCCAAATCCATAAATTATATACAACAATCTGTAGGTTTTGGCGTAAAAAATCAAAACAAATTTTTTGTAGAGTTATATAAACTATTTATGTCGAGCTCCAGCCTCATTTTTTCATCGATCTTCCTCTAGTTTCACTACTGAGATCTTCATCAAGTTACAGAAACTTGAACATACATTTTTCATTTTTGTACTACTCACATAATCATTTTTGTACTGCTTACCTAATCAGAACTTTGAAGGTCATTTTTCTCATCTGATTTTCAATTTTAGGGAAAAATATTTATCAAACTCGTCCATCTTTAGGATATAATGATTTTAAAAGTTTTAGTTTTTTATCAAATTTTATTTTTGCTTCAATTTATTAGGAGCCAATATAGCAAAATGATTCTTTAATGGCATTTAATTCTATTTCTAAAAATAATGACCCGAATAATGAGCTGAAGCATACATATGAAATTCAAATAATTATACTATTTATAATTTTGAGTAATATGTTTTTTTTTTCTTTTTAATATTGAAGAATATCCATTGGAGAGGTGAAAATGTTGCATACAACATCAGAAAATCAGTTAGCTGATCTGCTAGCTAAGCCGTTAGTTGGAGTCAAGTTCAAAATTTTACTTGGCAAAATGGGAATTCTGAATATATACTCTCCATCTTGAAGGGGAGTATTGAGATTTGTTAAATTGTATAAAGTTATTTATGTCTTTTGACACTTCCATTTTGTGTATATAACGAACCTCTGTAGCTCAATTTCATTCTAACGAATTCAGCTCAATTCAACAGCTTCTACCGCCTTTTCTCCCCATTGCTAGATCTCATTTTCTCTTTTGCAAACTTCACAAATTGATGAAAAACGTCTACTTGGCTTATGAAAGCCATTAATAGATATTGTATTCATGTGTACACTGTAATTGTTTTCTGTTTTGTAATATTCTTTACTTTTTAGATTACTACGATAATTGTATAAATGAATATAGCTATTCAATAATTTTATCAACTGTGTTGTGGTATCAAAGCATTCTTCGCTTTGAGAGAAGAACACACTCTTATACGTTAACTATTTGTATAACTATTCGATATAGGATTTATCCCATAATATGTCCTTCAAAGATCGCTCATTTGAAAACATCAATTTGAAATCGTGTGCTCCTTTTGAATATTAATTGGAGAGAATTGTTCGTTTAAACTTAACGAGCTCTAATACTATATTAAATCAGTATACAACACTTGCATGATATATATATATATATATATATACAGAAATGATCTAATGAGCACCGGTGCTCATCTTATCCTAAGCACCGATGAGTTGGCACATTAATTCATTGGTGGATAAAGATTTTGTGAGTTCCAATCCACCAATGAATTAATGTGCCAACTCATTGGTGTTTAGGATAAGATGAGCACCGGTGCTCATTAGATCATTTCTGTATATAAAGTGATAGACTTAATAAAAGGTAGAAATAAATGATTTATTTAATTATACATCTCATTTAATGTCACATTAGTACCACATAAATTGATATTTGAACACCAACAATACTAAATAGCATTACTCTTTCTTAAAAAGATAAATAATTCCAAAACTCGTTCTTTCCATACAAGTCAACAACCTGCGACTCTCGCATAGTACTACTTTGTTTTCAATAATCAAAACACACTAATTCATTACAAATTTAGTGCACAAATAAAAGGCTGGAGAAATTATCATCACAGTGAGAAAAGATTGAGGACCAAACTTGAAATTATGTGATAAAAGAATATGCATGTATGATGTGTATATGTCTCTAAAATATAAAAATATATTCCGTCAAAAAATATATATATTTGTATAAAAAAAAATACACGTTGGAATATAAAAAAGTTTCATTAAATTAATCGAAAAACAGCTGGAGTCAGCATCAACTATAAAAGCATTCCACTCTAAACAGAGCCATTTCCTCCTCGGCTTTTTCTCTTACCAACTCCACCCTTTCTATGGAGCCTCCACCACCACTCTCCACTCCCTCCGTCACAGTCACCACGCCGGAGGCTCCACCACCAAGGCCTTTGCAGCCACAACCCAATATCAATTCCTTTGACTCTTGGAACGATCCATCACTCCCAAAGCTCCGCTTCATGTGCAGCTACGGTGGACATATCATCCCCCGTCCACATGACAAGTCCCTATGCTACATAGGCGGCGACACCCGGATGATCGTTATCGACCGCCACACCTGCCTTTCTGATCTCCACCACCGCCTCTCGAAAACCCTGTTAAACAACCAGCCCTTCACGTTGAAATACCAACTCCCGAATGAAGATCTAGACTCGTTAATCTCCGTCGCTTCAGAAGAAGACCTTGAGAATATGGTTGAAGAGTACGACCGTTTGAATAATAGAAATAGTAGTTTGAAAAAATCAGGTCGGCTTCGTTTGTTTTTGTTTCCAAAATCTTCAAGTATTGAACAATTGCTGAGAGAGACCTCTTCGACTAAATCAGAGGACTGGTTTCTAAATGTACTGAATGGTAAAGGTACTAATTTATCCACTGCTCTCAGTGATCTTGGGTTTTCAGATTCATCTTCGATCAATTATCTACTTGGACTTGACGATGACTTTGGTGGAAAAGCTGCTTCCTCAGAGACGGATGTAGAAGCCCAAATGGAGGGATCAAAGAACTGTTTGAACAATACTGGTAATCAAGATGTGCATTCGGTCCCTGATTCTCCGATGGTGGAGACCTCGTCTTCCTTTGGGTCGACATCCAGTTCGCCTTCTATAGCGAACCTGCCGCCCATAAGAGTGCCCAATGAAGGGAATCCGAAGTTCGGAGTTGAAGAGCTGTTTCAGCAGATGAATCTTGGGGTTGTGGGTGGTGTTACTTTGCAGCAGAAACAGGAGATTGGAGGGCTTTTTACCTCTGATGGAACCGCAGTTTCAGGATATACAAATCCAGTCTTCTCAGGCGACGAGGGGTCAGATCATGGTGCAGAGCAAGCACAGCAACAGGTACAGGTTCAATTTCAGCTGAAACAAGGAGGTACTATAGAGTTGTATTCCCCTGAATCAGTTTCAAGGTACCCCAATTTTCTAAAGCATAGATCTTGGATTTATTTTCAGAATATCCATTTATGTACGAATTGTTTCTTCTGTGCTTTTTGGTTGAGTACTTAATTATATTCTATGGGTACAGTGAGGGAAGTGCAACAAATCCATTGTCTAGGCATAGACAAACTTTTTATCATGAACCACATGTTCAAATTCAATCTGTAAACAGTAGGGGTTCGGCTAGTCAAGTTGATCTGAAGACGGGGGATCAAAACACAAGGAGTGTTCCAATGCAACCGCAAGTTCAGGAATCGGGTTATGTATTGTCTGGTCAGTTCGACCAAAATCATCCTCCATCGAACCAGCCACGACAGTTTGTTCATACCGGTACTCAGTACATCCCTGCCGGGGCAACACCAATTACTTCATATTACCCGATGCAATCTTCCCAGCATCAACACCATTCTCACTACCCTGCACTCGAGCAGCAATACCCCGTTTACTTTCTGCCTGCTAGACAAACCCAGGTCTATAATATGCCCGTGCAACAACAACCAAATTATAATGAATCGGCACCAGCTTTAGCTACTAGCAATCCTCAAACACCTTCTGCAGCCTACAATCAGGCGAGGAACGTTCCTGCCTCAAAAGCTGAAATGGCTGCGGGCATTTACCGAACAGCAGCTTCACAATTTCTCCAGGTTCCTTCCGGCCAGCACCAAACACAGTATGTCGCCTTCACTCAAATTCATCATCCATCTCAGTCGGTGGCTTTCCCTTCAGCTGCCAATTCAAATCATGATTATGAATTTGCTGATCCTACACGCTCTCAAGTATATTATACTCAGACTCCGACCACCCAATTGGCTTCCCATTATAACACCATGACAGCAGCCGCGAAAGTCATATTACCTGAAAGTTCCACTCAGTTTCCCACAGAGAATAATATTAAGCAGCAAATTAGAACTTGTCAGCCATGACAGGAACATTTTTTGCCGCAAGGGATTTGGTTTACGTTTGAATGTTATGTTATAGTCTGTCTTTTATTCTTGTTTGTTTTTCATGTGCATTTGTTTGTTATAGGTAATAAGAAAATCTGGTCATTTTCCCTTGTTTATCATGTGTGTCACGTTGATGTTAGTATTACAAGTAAAATTGTAGAAGCTCATCTCACAAGTTTGATGTTACATATTTTGTCTAAATATCAGTTATTGAATAAATTTAGTAGAGTATAAAGTGCATACGAGTGCTTTAGCAATTCGTAGTCTATGATTTTTTTGATATTTTTGAACAAATTGTAAGGCCAGGAACACAATATTAAATCGAGAAACAGAGATACAATGATCCTCTTGGAAAATAAAGTCAGAAAATTTAAAAAATCACAAGCGATTTCTTGCGGCCTAAGCCCCGTACGTTCGGCGACCATTTCTAACGCCTACATCCCCATTTGAGCATCTAATAGATTGGATTTGTGTTCGGTTCCACTATATAGCCCAAAATGACAACAAATGTTACAAAATGTTCAGCCAAATCACTGAGTATAGAACAAAACAATTATATCTCTCTATATACAATAGTCTATCCACAAGATTAAAAAAAAAATCTTCAAAATCTCAGAAACGGCAACATGAAAGGACACAAACTTTCTCATAGATAGTCACTGATTACGCCCAAAGAATAATGCGATAATTGTAGTACAACTTTGGGGTGACGTATCCACAGGGAGATGGAAAAATGTATAAAGGAGTTTAATAATTTAAGGTTCTTGTGATTTGGATGAAAAGAATTTGTTTATTGAATTAAAATGAAAACGTCACCGGATATAATGATGGAATTTAAGTCAATATGTAAAACAGTGAAGCGTCGGAATTTCTTCAACTGAATTGGATCAATCAACATCAATAATTCATACATGTTCTACTCCATTAGAAGTTTTTATCTTAACTTTCTAATTGGAGGATTTAGCAATACAAACCAATTTAATTCCATATATAATTCTAGAATTTAAGTTTCATAAATCTCATTTCCACATTAATTTATTGAAATCAGATTCAAAAGGCGATATATTTCTAACATATAGTAGTAATTAAATCACAACAATAAAGTATATGAAATTTAAACTCAAACAAATATTTTAATTGTTCAATGGAAGAAACTTAATTAAATCCATGAAAAACTTAATAAAATTTAAGTCAAACTCAAAACTAATTCAAAGTAAGGAAATATAAACCCTAGAATTGTTTAAATAATGAAAAACACATTACATGAGTAAAAGATGTTGAAATCTCCAATTCCAATTGAGTTCCTTCGTAGTTTCACCAATGTTTATTAGTTCTTCATGAAGTTCTTGAGCCAAAAGTGATGATAGAATGGTGTAGAATGAAGAATGATGAGGAATTCTAGAATTTTTTTGGGTTTTTTATTCTAGGCTTCTCGCGGTCCAAAAAAAAAAAACCTAAGTTTTCACGGTGCGGCACCTAGGCACCATGGGAGCAGTGCCTAGGAGCTAAAAATCTTTTTTTTTGGGGGGTTTGTGCAGCACCTGGGTGCTGCGTTGCTATTTCGAATTCTACATCTTTTTCAGTATTTTCTTCATAACATCCTTTGCCGATGTCCGATTGAGATGATTCAAGTTGCGTTGGAAAGCTAACTCAAAGGGCTACAACTTTGGTTCAAATATATCTTCGAATTCGATAACTAGTCTCAATATGAGGCTGAAAATCGGTGCAATACTTTTCAACTTGAAAGTTGATATTTGATAATGTTTTGTCTATGTTTCATCCATTTGACTCCTTCCTTCATCCAATTGGCTTATAATACTCTCAAATCTTCATTACAAGGTTAGAAACAAGTTTAGAGTATTTTCCCTTTAGTCCCCAAGCTTTCATTTTCTTCCATTTTGGTCCCTTTTCGCCATTTTCTTCAACTTTCCACCTTTTTCACTCATTCGCAACCTAAACCAAGATATAGAAGTACTTAGTGCATTTATGCATCAAACAATCATAGAAACGTAAATATTAATGGGTTAAAAAGTAACAAATGTGCTATTATCACACCCACAACTTGTTTATTGCTAGTCCCTAGCAATTTAATGTGGAGCAAGATGAATGAATGATTGGTCTATATTAGAAGTGAAATTGTTAAGTTCTAATTTAACCACATGCCATGCCCTCTTCAAACTCAAGACCACAATAAATTAACAATGTCACGATTATCAATACGTCAAAGACTCATGCCAAATGTGTGAGTATGTGTTAAGCCATAGCCATCTTACCGCAACCCTAACACATGCAACATCAAGTATATCTCAAGCTGAAGGTTCAGCTCCATAACTCACGGGTATCAAAGTGTTTAGTGTGAGGTTTCTCTCTATGGAGTTGAGAAAAATGAATGCTCAAATTTGGAGGCTTAAACAATTGTGCACAAGCAACAAACAAATATTGATTATGTGATAGGTAAACTACCAAATGCGAATTCATCAACTTTTTACAACCGCCTACTTGGGATCAAAGCGTTCAATACAAAGGGTTGTAATGAAGTTTAGGTTGGATCATATGAGAAGAACATACATAAAAATTTAAATACTTCCAGGCACATAGTTAGGCATCTTATCAAATATCTCAATACATCACATCTTTAAATCAACACATTCCTTAATATTTCAAACCCCAAAATCAAATACGAATAG